CCCCATGATGCTGTCGTTCATCGGTCTGTTCTCCAGCTTGGGAGGTGCCATTGGATACGCCGTGGCGGCTGCCATTTACACAAACGTATTCCCTGGCGCTCTCGAGTCTCGTCTCCCCGCGGACCTCAAGTCCAATACCACATCGATCTACATGGGCGGATACATAGTACAGCAAACATATCCGATGGGCTCGGCTGCTCGTGATGCGATCAACTATGCCTGGGGCCGCAGCCAGATGTATGGTGCGGTTGCGGCTACTTGCATTTTGATTCTAGGGATCCCTGCCATTGCCGTCTGGAAGAACTACAATGTCAACAAGCACCAGAACAAGGGTGTGATGATCTAGGAGGGATAATTCTATAGTATATGTTAGAGATACCTTTGTATTGGGATTTTGCGAGATTACAGATACCTAATGGAAGACCACTGTCTCGGTGATTATTCTTGCTTCGTAGGTCCTCGCATATCAAGCGCATCCATCACCCCTATACGGCAGCAAAATAATGCCCTAATAGAGGGATACAGCAATGAGCTCGCACACCAGGGTCCCATGAGTGAAACCGTGATATTCTGTCAGCAAATCAACATTTCTAGGTATGAATTCTTCCTCGTGGGGAGCAGTGCATGAACTTACATCAGCCAGAAACGCCATACGTGGCAGCCAAGTCATAACATCCATCGCTAGAGACAACCAGGTGATATGCGGTACAGCTGGTTGTCTTCTGGTCATGGTGGAGAGAGCACACCACGCGTCGTGGTAGATGATGTGGAAGCAGTTGTAGTCGTAGTTGCTCGCGCTGGACCAGGACGCTCTCCTGCCCACCTCCGTCGTTCCAAGTCCTATCGAAATCCCACTTACGCACCACATTCGCACAGTCATCGACAACACATGTAGCGGGCAACCCATCTCCAGCAGAAAATGGAGGATTCCGTTATGGTGGCTTCCTTATTCACCGCTTGGGATTCACTCAACTTCCCACAAATTTGAGCCATACTCTCCTCGATCAAAATAGCGCATCTACCCAATAGACTGGCCTTCCGCATGGGGTGGTAGGGGACTCTTTTCCGAGGATTAAAGAGATCATCATTGTCGCGAGGCGCTGAGCATTCCTGCAGCTCATAGCAACCCTGTAAAAGTGCATCTCGAATGCCACATTGGTGCTTCCTAAGAGTGGAACTGGCGATGTTCATATTTCATCTGGTTGGTAAATGATCGCTCTTTCAAAGCTGGAGAATATTCGTAGAGATAGGTAAATTGCACAGCGAAGTGCAGCAGTACTGAATCATCGTTTCTAGGGCCGTCCAGCCAGCACTCAATCAGGGCATCAATTATGCCCGACAATGGTGGGAAGGACAATGTTTGGTCTGGTAATTCCTCCAGAGGCACGCGTTTGGAGCAGAGTCAGACGCGAGGGGGAACTTCCAGTCTGATGCGAAAAGAAGGACGGTTGTTGTCTGGCTATCCGGAGCCATTAGCTGCTGTTGCCGAGTATTTACCTCTACATAACCAATTCGATGAGGGGATTGTGTACCGACAGTCCATCCAGCTTTGATCAGGCAGTCGACGACTATATCGCTGTCCGTGACAACAATATACAAATCGAACACCACCGTGGGAACACCGAAGTAGTGAAGAGCATCTTCAAACCAAATCTCATAGAGGACACTATTTTCATTAAATACGAGACAAGGTTTCTATATTATCACTGCTCGACCCTCGATTATGTCAAGTGAGTGATCGGGCATGGCGAGTAGACGCCTCTGGTGATTTGGAGGAGCGTTGCTCCGAGACTGTTTGTTCTCGGACGAGGAGAAAGACGACGTACTGGATGCTTAGAGCAGAAATGTGCTTAGGCCTGTTAGAATGCCATATTCAGACCTTTTCCATTCTATCTTCTTGTGGCCGGAGCAGTAAGTGTGGTCATTGTTATCTTGTTTACCCCGCACTGCATTTCTCCTCCTCCCCAGCAACCTCCTTGTCTGGATCATTCCTGTCGAGCAGTGTCGATCTCTCCTTCTCTGCATGGAACGTTACATTCACATTGACAATCAGCAAATTAGTTATGCCTTGTTCACATATTACAAGCGCCCTCATGTCCAATTCTCGTCTTCATACCGGGGATACTCCTCCCCAACGGGTGACAATCAACACAGTGCCCACTCTCCGCCACGAAAATGGTAGCATTAATGAAGTTCGCAGCTCTGCTACCTGTCCAATGGACAAGCCTCGCTGCAGGCCAACCTTCATCAGCTGAAAATGACGTCCTTGAATATGTCAATCCCCTCATCGGCTCCACCAACGGGGGCAACGTCTTCGCAGGTGCAAGTCTCCCCTACGGGATGGCCAAAGCCGTAGCCGACGTCGACGGCCAGAACACCGGCGGCTTCGCGACAGATGGCAGCCATGTCATCGGGTTCTCGAGCATGCACGACTCTGGCACGGGAGGTAATCCCTCGCTGGGCAATTTTCCCCTCTTCCCACAGTACTGCCCAGACGATGTGCTGGATAACTGCATGTTTCCCAAAGCTGCCCGCGGGGTGCACTATGTCAATGAGTCAGTTGTTGCGCGGCCGGGGCACTTTTCGCTTGCGCTGGAGAATGGGATCCGGGCTGAGATGACGGTGTCAGAGCATGCGGCGCTCTACCGGTTTACCTTTCCGTCGTCCACGGCGCAGGACGGGTCGGAGCTTAGTCCGCTGATTCTGGTTGATTTGACGGATGCGTGGGATAGTCGGCAGAATGCGTCCATCAAGGTTGATGCTGAGAATGGCCGGATCACGGCCAATGGGACGTTCTTGCCTAGCTTTGGGGCCGGGACTTATGTCTCATACTTTTGTGCGGATTTCGGGGGTGCAGCTGTGAAGGATACTGGGATTTGGGTTAATAACCGCGCGGGGACCGAGCCTCAGGAGCTGTTTGTCACGCGGGGATTTAATCTGTTCTATCTGCAGGCTGGTGGATTTATGAGATTCAGACGTCCCGAGGATGGGACAGTTACTGTGCGGGTTGGGGTGAGCTTTATCAGCTCGGAGAAAGCGTGCGAGAACGCAGAGAAGGAGATTCCTCATCCTGAAGCCGACTTTGATAGGCTGAAACAGCGGGCTGAGAGTGCATGGCGCGAGAAGCTCAGCCCTGTCTCTGTGCAGGCGGGAGGCGTGACTGAGAACTTTCTCGAGTCCTTCTGGAGTGGTATTTACCGGACCATGCTGTCTCCTCAGGACTTGACGGGCGAGAATCGGCTCTGGCGCAGTGATGAACCGTACTACGATTCCTTCTACTGGTATGTATTGCAGGATGATATGCTATTTCTTCGATCGCTGATGATTGGCAGTATCTGGGATTCCTTCCGGGCCCAGCACCCGTTTCTCACCATCATTGACCCTGTCGCACAATCGCGGATGGTACGAAGTCTTCTCGATACCTACAGGCATGAAGGTTGGTTACCGGACTGTCGTATGAGTCTTTGCAAGGGCTGGACCCAAGGCGGATCCAACGCGGATATCGTCCTGGCAGATGCTTTTGTCAAGAACCTTACCGGGATCGATTGGGACCTCGCATATGAAGCCATGGTCAACGATGCAGAGAACGAGCCCATGGAATGGTCGTACGAAGGTCGAGGCGGCCTGCAGAGCTGGAAGCGTCTGAACTACATTCCTTACCTCGATTTTGATTACCTGGGCTTTGGGACCAATTCCCGCAGCATCTCACGTACTCTGGAGTATTCCTACAACGACTTCAGCCTGGCCACGGTTGGACGAGGTCTGCGCAAGCGTGACTATACCAAGTATCTCTCTCGAGCGAGCAACTGGCAGAACCTCTACAAGGCAGACCAACACTCCCTGATCAACGGCACCGACACAGGCTTCGTCGGCTTCTTCCAACCAAAGTACCTCAACGGTACCTGGGGCTACCAAGACCCCATCGCCTGCAGTCCCCTAGCCTCATTTTGTTCACTAACGTCCAATCCCTCCGAGACATTTGAGTCCAGCGTCTGGGAATACCAATTGTACGTTAGCCCCTTCCAAGCCCAATGCACCCTTCAACCCACTAACAAAAAATACCCCAGCTACGTCCCCCACGACATGGCCACCCTGATCGGCCTCCTTGGCGGCCCAGACACCTTCATCTCCCGCCTCAATTTCTTCCACACCTCCGGCCTAGCAGACATCGGCAACGAGCCAGTCTTCCTAACCGTCTTCCAGTACCACTACGCCGGCCGGCCGGCCCTCTCCGCCGCCCGCGCTCATGCCTACATCCCCTCCGCATTCAACGCCTCCACATCCGGCCTCCCCGGTAACGACGACTCGGGCGCCATGGGCGCCTTTACCGTCTTCACGATGATGGGTCTCTTCCCTAACCCCGGCCAGAACGTGTATCTTATCAACCCGCCGTTCTTCGAGGAAGTGAGTATCACGCACCCCGTGACGAACAAGACCGCGACGATAAGGAATGTCAATTTCGATAGCTCTTACCAGAGGATATATATCCAGAGCGTGACGCTTAATGGGGAGCCGTATACGAAGAATTGGATTGGCCATGAGTTTTTCACGGAGGGATGGACGCTCGAGTTGACGCTGGGCGACGTGGAGAGTGATTGGGGGACTGGCGCGGGTGATCTGCCGCCGAGTCTGGGGAAGAGCATGCATCTATGGACTTGATTTAGTGTGGATCGTGCTTGACGAGTTGTTTCAGCCAGATAGAAGTAGGTTTGGTTGAGAGAGTGTCTCTTCCACCCGAGTTAGATCAGATAGCATAAGGCGAAGGAAACTACGTTCTCGGACAAATCTCATATCAGCGTAGCGCTGCCTAATCTCATTACCGAAAACCTTTCTATTCGGTCTGTAACTTTTATCTAGAATCCATCTGAATCAGATATCGTAAACCCACGCTTGCTGATGACAGTCAACAAAACACCTAACGCATCCATGCAATGTGGCATAAGGCCGGAGTAGCAGATGGCAATGCATCCAGGATTAAAATCAATCAATCAGTCAGTCAGTCAATCCGTTGAGACAATCGCTTCGGCAGGCATCTCAACCGAATCCGTTGCGTCAGTCATTTCATTATTCTCCTCTCTGGGCTGCGCTTCCTCGTCCAACTGTTGCTCGCGCTCACGCTCACGCTCCTCTTCCTGCTCCACCTTTTCCTCCTCTTCCTCCCAGTTATCCGCGACCTCAGTCGCAGGCGGAGTCGCGGAATTCTTCTTCGCGGCTCCTACGCCGGACCGCAGAACGAGCTTCTCTTTCTTAGGAAGACCCCAGGTCCCGCTGTCGCCGCCAGCAAGGGCCGCGAACTTCGACCCGGACCACGGACTAGGACTCGCAACCGGGGTCGTGCTTCTCGCCGAGCTTACGCCGTTGCTTCGACGGGAGGCAGCGACCTGGGCCCAGCCGCCGTCGCCCGCTGTATCTGTGGACTGCTGCGCTTTGGCAGCTTCCTTGAGCGCTTTGGCTTCGGCGGCGGCGAGCCGTTGCGCTTCACGCTCTTTGAGACGTTGGCGTTCGCGGAGCTTGACGCATTCGCCCACACTTTTGCCGCCGACGCCGATGGAGTTCTCTGGGCCGAACCCGAGGAGCGGTGCGGTCCATGTTGTGGGTTTCAGGACGAAGACGTGACGATGGGGTTCTGGATCGAAGCTCTCACTGGCGAAGCCCCAGTCCGCGGCTAAGGAGTGGATGAACGCACGGAGGGGGGATTTGGCGGGCTGAAAGCGTACGGATCGCTGAGTGGTACTGGTTGCTAAGGAATGGAGGGTTGATTCGTACGTCTGTAGTGTGGAGAGCGGAGAGGTGGAAGAAAGCTGGACATACAAGTCCAGGGTTTCTGTTGAATAAGGAAGGGTGTTGGGAGAAATATTCGAAGCAGCCGTGGTGGCCGGGTTAATCTCGACGCCAAGCGCAGATGCCAGAGCACGATTCCGCTCCAAGCGAGCGCATTCGTCGTCGCATGTCAACGGGGTCACGGCAGGTCCTCTTGTTGCCTGCGGTACCGGTCCCTTCGATGCCGCCGCTGCATTGCAGCGACGTGATTGACGAAGCCGTCCACAGCCACAAGTTACTGTGACTGTGGACGCGCAAGGCGTCTTCTCGGGGCACTGGTACGGGGCATGACAAGGTTCAGTGCATGGGTGACCGCACAGGGACTTGGTCTTTCCACATGGCTGTTGGCAAGGCCTGGAGGCATCCTCGCACTCGCCAGGCCGGTGGCAGGTCTTTTGGCAGGAATGAGAGCCACATTTAAGCGGTTCACCGCACACCTGGCCACATCGCGTCTCCGCCAGCCAGCAAGGCTGGTTTTTCAAGACACGTTTGCCACAAAGACAGGCCTTCTCAGTGAGGAACGGGCACTTGGGACAGCTCTCTTCGTCAGTATGACAATTGTGAGGTGTCTGAGGATGGCCGCATGGCTTAGGTCGTTCACACGGAAAGGAGCAAGCAGGAGGTTTAGTCCCACAGGGTAAGGGTGGAGACAGAACAGTTCTGCCGCAGTTACACGGAATATCCTCGAAAATTGCCTCTCGGCAAGTGTTACAAGGTCCCTTGTGACAGATTTCCGGGCATGTGTGTCTTCCGCATTTCAGCGGACGACCACAAACTCGCGTGCAAATATGTTCGGCTTCAACATCCTCGTCGCTAGGTCTGAGGTGTGACTTGAGCTTCCGCCGCACGGCCTGACGTTCAATGGCCTTTTGCTCCCCAGCGCAGCATCTCTCTGCGCAAGCGTGTCGGCCACAGTGCAAGCCTGCTTTGCAAACACGGAAACACCAAGGAGGTTCAATTGTGCCTTGATGGCACACAGTTACAACCGTGGTGCGACCGCAGCGGCAATTAACTGGCACCTTGCGTCGACACGAGCCACACGGGCCGGTGTGGCAGATCTGGTCGCACGAGTGTCCGCAATCCAGCATCTTACCACAGGGCCTCGAACAGTTGGGTATAGGATCCTCACAGGACGTGCGGGCAGAGAAGTAAGGCATCTCTGTCAGAGGCGTCTTCCCGCAAGGACAGTGAGAAACGACATCCGGTGACCGCGGGCAATGAGCGGGATGTGCATCCTGAGGATGGCAACCTTTCTCACAGAAGTGCACTCCGCAATCAAAAGGACGACTGCACTGATCTCCGCAGCTGAAACAACCAATCCATTCATCGATCGTACCATCGTCCCCTCGCGCCAGTTGACTTTCGAACTCCTCATCCTTGGAGCTGCAAAGCATCTCGGTCTGCACCTTTCCACAATAGCAACGACCCTCTATTTTGACTTCACATGCCCCACAGAGGCCCTCATGGCACGGCCGAGTACAAGTGTGTTCGCCGCAGGGGAGCAAGTCACCGCATATCTCCCCACAGCTCCAACCATTCTCGTAATCTATATCCTGGCAGCGCTTAGTCGACGAATTCCTCCCACAGAAACAATCTTGAGTCGGGCCCATCGCGGTACAAGGTGAACAAGGACCAGCGTGGCAAGTCGCATCGCACGGATGCGGACAGCCTTTGCGTGGCCGTGAGCAGGTTTGACCGCACGAGTGTGGGGGGAGGCCAGGTAGCGGACGGGGGTCGACTTCCTTCTCACACCAACAGGAATAGGTGGAAGGGAAGATCTCGTGTGGAAGATTACAGCCAGGGCAGCGCCAGGCACGCGGTGCACTAGGCTCCCCATCTGCCTGGCGACGCGCAGCATCCTGGGCGGCCGATCCTTCATTCTTTGACCATTTCTTGACACAACTCAGATGGAAAACAGTCCAGCACAACTCACACGACCAGACCCGCGACCTTCGGCCCAGCTCGCTTGTACAAATCGGACATTCATAGAGGTTGTGCGCGATGTCTTCGTGTATCCGGGTGGCGATATCAGGTGCAGTAGATTTCGTCGTCACTTTCGGCGGCCGAGGCTGAATGTTCTTCGACTTGCCCTTTCCGGTCGTAGAATCTGCTGAGGATGTGAGTCTGGTAGGTACGACTCCATTCGTTGGCGCTCCGGGGACAAATTCAGGCGCATCAGCTCTCAAGCTCAAGTCCCCCGTATCATCTGGTTGATCCTCATCAGACGGCCGGTGGGGTTTCGACAATCGTCCTTCAAATGTCCGTCCTCCCAGCCCACCGCCCAAAGCCTTTGTATCCTCACCTCGTCCTCGTTCACGTCGTCGACCGTAGTCCTGGGATGCGCCCACCCCTCGTCCACCCCGTTTTCCCCCCCTCGATCCTCTTGCGGCCCGTGATGATTCGTTCGGCTGTACATTCAACGATGAAGCTTCGTTTGCTGGTACTTGAGGCGTTTCCTGAGCTTCAGGTTGTGTGTTGGGAGCTGCCTGGATAGATCGAAGAGAGCCACGACCGCCACGGCCTCTGCCTCGTCGTCTGGCAGCCTTCGGACGCGGGGTGTTGTTATCAGCGGTGGCCACAGGCGAACCCGACATGTTGTCGACGGCCCTGGAGGGTTCAGGCGAAGCTACCTGGGGTACCCCCATGCACAAGTAGTCTATTATAAGGCGGTTGGAGAAGTGAAAAAAGAGCAAGATCACTTCGCTCAAAGATCAATTTGTCGCGAAGCTCAAGCGCCACCTGATAAGGTGCACAGAAAAGAAAAGCGGAGGCAACAGTGCAGGCCGCGCTGAAAGGAATACGACGGTGTAAAAAGTAAATAGGAATCAAGTCAGCCCGGAGGCAAAGAAAGTAAAGATTACTTTTTTAAAGCAGAACGAGGGAAAGGAAGGGGGATGGAATTTGAAGTGTTCCTGAACAATCGCCGGAATCTTTTTTTGATTATACGGATACTGCTGGGTGGCGGCAAAGCTGCTGCTTTGCTGTGGTTCCACCGCGGATCACTCCAACAGACCAAACTGGAAGGATTACTATCAAATATGGATCTGATTTGATGGAATAAATGAGTCAGCCAGTCGTAAAGCTCCAATTAAAGACCCATTCTATTTTCATAAACTAGCAGGTCGTTCATGAATTGTTATTGGAGAGTTTGGACCAAGTCCTCGCTATCACAGTGAATGTAGCATTACTGCAGAGTCATCGCCATCCGAGAATGAGTCACACAGAGTCATCAACTCCTACACAAGATGCATTACAGAGTCTGTCAGGAATCTGAGTGGATGAAGTTGATTAAATTAGCCCTACAATATAAGCCCAGCGCTATGCATAATAATTCACGTGAAGAATCGACAGAAAGGCGAAGAAGGCCCACACCATGCGAAACAGCAACATGTAATCCTTAGGAAGCAAATCTAACAATCAAGTATCAGAAGAAGAGAACGACCTCTCCTCGCTCGTTCTGCTTCACTCTCAATGTGCGCCACAAGTCCTTCTCATCCTCAATTCTCCGCTCGCGATCTGCACGGCTCCGCCCTTGATCACGGCCACGATCGTCATCGTATTCATCGGTAAGCTCGCGATGGAAGCGCTTCAATACCTTGTTTACAGAGAAGCCTCGTGTGCTCTCTGGCCCCTTCGTCACCAGGGAAAGAAAATGCGCAGCCATTTGTCGTTGTAACTCGTTGGGAATATTCTCCTGCCGATAAACAACCACCTCGCGGCCGTCGTCGCCTTGTTGGGAGCCGTTGTGTTCAATCTGCTTTAGCCGCTGGGAGGGCCGGTCCCCTCCTGCTTGAGCGCTGACCTTTCGTTTCGTCTTCCGGGAATCAGACAGCATTTGATCATGGGATGGACTGGCCACGCGGTGAGATTTCTTCGATCGGCGAGCCTCCGGCTCCTGGCTGTTGTTGCTGCTTCCCGACACGGCAGAGCCTCCAAACATGGATGACACAAGACGTCCCGCCTTTTGTTTCATAGAAATACCCAGACCCGCATCGTTGTTACTATCTTTATGATCGCGGCGGGTCCGCTTGATTGGGGAAGATGGGTCCTGGTACCGTCGTCGTGAATCCTCCTTGGACTCATTCCCATCTTCGGTGGATGGAGACCGCATCATACGATTCAAACCACCAGTGAGACCTGAGTGTTTCAGCATCGGCGTACCCGGGTTGTTGACCACACTTGATGGAGCATCAGCCATCGGAGAGTCAACGTCCATATCATGGTCATCGGTACGGCGCTTGCGTTTCTTGTCGCTGGTCGTAGCACTGGCTTTGTCGTTCTCTCCACGCGCACGATCCTTCTTCTTTTTGGGCGCCGGGGTCATGAACTCCATGGAAACGTTGGGAGCTTTGCCTAGGTACACCGATGGCTGAATTGGACCAGCACCATATGAGAAGCCGTTCTCCTCATATGCCACATCGTAGTCCTTCTTTTCGTCGTCATTATCCGTTTCGACATGGGCTAATGCCTTGCTCGACTCAAAGACAGACGGAGCATGGTCAACCATTCGCATTTGCTCCTTGGACCCGCCAAGCGAGACTTTCGATGCATTGGGGGTATCTCCCGTCACGAGATAGTCAAAAACGTTAACCGACTTCGAGTCATCAGCGGTAGTGGCAGAGGGCTTCTCAGTGCTCGTAGGTGGTGGACTAGGAGCAGGCGGGGGGGCGTTGCCTTGTGAATTATCGGTATCGGGCCCGTCTTCGACGTAAGGAGCACGATGTTTACCATTGGCATTATTTTTCTGGTTCTGGTTCTGGTTTTGGTTTTGATTTCTCCGCTGGTTTTTCGTCGGCTTCTCCTTGTACAATGCGCCCTGGTACTTTTGGGCCTCAGACATGCATGACTAGATAAAGCAGACAGTCAGCTTGAGCGATGAAGCGACACTGAGGGTAGTCGAGTATTTCTTCCAGCGATTGCTGCTCGTTTGCTATTAAGACAACGCCACAGTGCAGGGACGAGTTCGCACAAAAATAGGGATGAGCGCCGGCGAATCTAGAGCGGACAGCCAAAAAAGCGATAGACATACCGTATGCGATCTGTAGCTAGTTCCCTGAAAGTGTACCATACAATCGATGCAAGTGAAGGATGCGCCTCGGCATTGGTTGCGATGAGGGTCAAGCTTTTTCTTGGTGAGGACATCACCACAAGCCTGGGAGAAAAGAAGGGTTAGATCCAATGCTTTTTGATTCGTCGATATCTCTCGTCTACCAATAATGAGGGCAGCGACGGATAAGACTCACCTCACATGAAAAGGAGACCATTTTGACCCCGCTATCACCCACTTCAGCAAGTGTCTTCGCGAACTATTGGATCCAAACAGAGAGACAACAAAGTGACTGGCTTCTAGGGTTGCAGCAGAACTGTCAGATACAGGTCTCGAATGCGCAATCTTTATCTGTTTCTTTGCGCTAGAGACGAACAGAATTATGGAGTAAGCGATGAGCCCCTTCGGCGGAGGTAATGTCAACAAAGAGCGTTGATGGAGAAACAAGAGCAAGTAGGAGAATAGAACGAGTTTCGCGCCGGTGCACAGGGATACAGCACACTAAAGATATTCTTCCCCTATAAACGCTACTTCCTGCGACCGCTCGTAGTGTTTGAGAATTTCCTGAAATTCCGTCTTCTGCTGAGCGCGTCTGCGAAAGAAAATGAACAGAAAAAAAAAAGAAAAAAGCAGCTCATCAATAATTCGTTTTTGCGCTATTCCATTCCGGGACTAGATAGATGTCTGGATCCTGCCTTGCAAACCAGGTATCCACTATCTATCAAACAGCTCCACAATCGCGATCATATAGATACTGTCCAGGTCCAGCAACTTCTACATCAACCTATTTCTATCATAATGTGGCCCTCCAATTTTAAGTATCATCTTTGTGGCAGTGAAACATCGTATTCCATGGGGGCCGTTTCACATTCGTAGTACGTGTGTGTATTGCCTCCGGCTCGATCTACATCCGCTTATGGGCGAATCCTGAGGAGCGTTACAGCCAGCCAAAGAACATGGGAGTCCATGGTCGTAAGAACAGAGATATGGGATCAACCGTATCAAAGCTGAGCGCGGCATCCACATCCCTATCGGCCCAGGTTGTCAGAAGACTCGCTGAGGCATGGCCAAGGAGGGGTCCAGTCCACCAACCGCCCCCCCTCAGCTGATTGGAGGCGGGGCTGTGAGTGCGCAAACCACTGGAAAAGCTCATATGAAAATTCGGAATCATCGAGTAGAATGGAACATAGCGGAAGGTAGAAACTATATTTATCACAATGTTGGGTTCCTTTTGTCGATATCATGGGCATGGGTGCGAGCTATCGGGAGAAATATATTTGGGATTCGCATAGGAGGTCTGTTACCCTCAGCCACACCGATTGCTTGGGTAAGCGAGAATAATCTCAGATTTGCTTGTTTGCCAGGTATGAGTGACGACATATCTCTCACTTTTATTTTGCAGGAAGTAGTGATGGCAATATGAAGAAGCTGCCTCTGGTGGATGGCCACGGTCAGTTGTGCGAGTCACGAATGCTTGTAGGTTGCCAGTAAAAGTCACGCGTCCCGAGAGGAATTCCTGTGTAGCAATGTGCAGACTGTCATATGCCCCTCCATTTGATAGATAATGCTGAAGCTTGTATTTGTATGCAATGCCTTGCAGATATCAAAGTACCAATGATAGCGAGCGATCCTTTTCATGCAAGGGTATATTTCTGAGCTCAATTTACAAAGAAATTCTGACAATCGCAGACTCTATTACTGTACAAAGAGGCCAGCTCCAGCAAAATGGCAAATATGAGACGGCCTGCGTGATGAGTGTTGTAATAAAGGAAGTTGTATTAGAGGAGACAATGGCAATCAGCCCCGAGTAGTTCTGTGATGGTCCGTCAGCAGCTGATATGTAAAATATTGAGGGACTACTGACGGCTCCTTGTGTATCTCGACGGGCGTAGTAGCGTCGCCTTCGTGATCATTTTTCTGATGCAGACCCTGACTCTCGGCCTGAGACTTGTCTTTATGGCCTGCTGCCTTTTCGTCCTCTGCGCAGCCGCAATCGTAAAAGTCGCCGATGTTGTTGCAATCAAATTCGGGTTTCCCTAGCATCGCATTGACCTCATTATGAATAAAGCAGCCCCAGCCTGCAGCAGCGTTCCTTGAAGATACTTGTGGCGGGTATTTCTTCAGGTGACTTTGAAAGTGAGAGGCGCATTCACCGCTAGTCCCACAAGTCAGCTCTTGAGAGAGTTTTGTCTGGTCCACAACGAGAGACGCACCAAGGATAAAGCCGCGCAAAGAGCAGTATAAACGAGCGTAATGTTTCCTGTTGCTCTTCCGTCGGTTCTTCTGGATACCGAGCCAACATGGTATGGAAATATTTCCAGGTCGCACGACCCAACTCCGCTCTGATGTTCCCCAGTCTGATTAGTACGTGTTTTAGTCCCAAAACAAGAGGTTCACGTACTTTGCAGTCTCATTTCCCAGCCGGGGCATGATCACCTCCCCCTTCAGCAGATCATCTTTGTCTGTCACGGCCGGCGCAGATTTATCGATGTGACCGGGAGCCCGGAGGGCGGGACTCGGCGGCCCTTGGGGCCGAACGAAGAGGAC